TGGCATATTGAGTGTAGCACTTTAACAGTGTCATCTTTTAAGATTTTAAATAGTTCCACCGGAATGCTATCACCTCCACTGTTGTCAGCCGTGCTTTCTCAGGCCCACTTTATTTCACTCTCTAGGATGTCTGGCTCAGGGTCAGCAACCACACTATCTGGGTTGTCTGGGACATCCAGATCTTTCTTGTATAATTCCTCTGTGTATTCGTGCCACCTCTTCTTGATGTCTTCTGCTTCTGTGAGGTTCCTACCATTTTTGTCCTTTATCATTGTTGCTGCTTCCTCTACAATGTTATGAGACTCCATCCATAGTTCTTCAGGCACTCTGTCCACCAAATCTAGATCCTTAAATCTGTTTTTCATCTCCACTGTGTATTCATAAGGGATTTGGTTTAGCTTATACCTGACTAGCCCAATGGTTTTTCCTACTTTCTTCAGTTTAAGCTTGAATTTTCCTGCAAGAAACTGATTATCAGAGCCACAATCAGCTCTAGGTCTGTATATTGCTGACTGTATAGAACTTCTCCATCTTTGGCTGCAGAGAACATAATCATTCTGATTTCGGTATTGCCTGTCTGGTGATGTCCATGTGAAGAGTCGCCTCTTGTGAAAAGAGTGCTTGTGATGACCAGCTTGCTCTCTTGACAAAGCTCTATTAGCCTTTGTCCTGTTTCGTTTTGAACTCCGAGGCCAACCTTCCCTGTTGTTCCTTTTATCTCTTGGCTCCCTACTTTAGCAATTCAGTCCCCTATAATGACAAGAACATCTTTCTTTGGTGTCATTTCTAGAAGGTGTTGTAAGTCTTCATAGAATTGGTCAATTTCAGCCTCTTCAGCATGGGTGGTTGGTGCATAAACATGGATTACTGTGATGTTGAAAGTTCTTCCTTGGTATTACTCTTGTGTTACACTTGATTTGTCAACTTAAAGTTCTGTTTACATACCAGCTTCTTAAATCCCACTAAAACCAGCTGTGAGCGGCATTTCTCCCTTTGGTAACAATGCAGTGTGACATCACTCATTTCCCAATCATGCTACTTGTATCTCTTACTTTGACTTTCTTGTCTTTAAGTTCTTAGGACAGGCTGCAAGAAACATGGTGATGCAAGAGGATGCCATCCTCCACTCAGAAGATGTAAGCAATTCGTTCTTCATAAAAGTGGATGTTTTACCTGATGATTTGGTGTCTTGATTTGTGTGAAGTGCAAGAAATGCAGAAAAGGGGTGGGTTACATGTGGAATTCAAGATGGAGGGAGTTGGATTTGGGCTTCCTGGTCTATTTTTATAATTCATTCTAGAAACACCTACACTTTTGCAGTTTTGAAAGAGTTGCCATTGGTGCATTGTTCATTGGTTTGAAGAGGAACGGAACATCTATATGTTCTCGGAATTGTAATTGTATTTAATGGGATACTAATAATATTTTATGGAATATTGAACTATCGTTAGGTTTGACTATTAAAAAAAATTCCTTTGTTTTTTTACTAAACTAGACCATACTTTGAAAAGGGACAATGTGGGCAGTGATGCAGAAAGCTGGCTTTTGGTTCATTTATATTGATGCATTTCTGGTGGTGGGTTTTTTTTTTGTTTGTTAAACAAGTAATTTTTATCCACTTACATTGAAATTTGGATAATTAAGCAATTTTATTCATTTATGTGGAAATCTGAAAAATTAATTAAATGCTTCAGCGGCAGTGTAAATGGACAGGCTAGTAAGTATACATGTTCCATGGTTGAAGCAGGGGAAGGCTCGTCCCATGGTTCTGGAGCAAGGCAATATTTTCCTGCTGAGGCTATCCCTCGGGCAAGTGAGCCAGTCTGTGGCAAGTGAGTGAGCTCCATGTCCTATTGTTGAGAAATAATATTTCCTTTTCTCCAACAGTGATTAAAGCCATCAAGTGTGTTAAATTGTAATTTGTTTTTTCCAGATTCATACAGTATGAATGTGGTGATAAATTTCAGTATCTCATAGGATGGCTGTTAATGGGGTGGGTTGCAGGCAGAATTTGGAAAAGCTCTGGACATGCTAGTTATGGGGACCTGGGAGCTGTAGTCCAAAGTAACTTTACAACTTCTCTTTGCAGATATTTTCTGGGCAGTGTGTTGCTCAGCCCCAATCTTAATCATTAGGGATCTGAATTCTCATTAAATAGTGCAGTGGCTATCAAATGGCATTGCTGTTTTCTGCATTTCCTTAAAAAGGTTGAGTCATTATTTGATGGGACCTCCTTGAATTATACAAGTTAGTTGATATGGCTTGGATTTCAGCCAAGTGTCTGCAAATAGGACTCCTTCCATTCAGAGTAGGACCAAGATCCAGAGAGGATCTTGATGACAGAAATGTGGTGGACAGTTTTTGCTTTTTCCACCAATATACCAACTTTGCTATTCTAGAGCAGTGGTTCTTAACCTTTGTTACTCGGATGTTTTTGAACTGCAACTCCCAGAAACCCCAGTCAGGACAGCTGGTGGTGAAGGCTTCTGGGAGTTGCAGTCCAAAACTCCTGAGTAACCCAAGGTTAAGAACCAGTGTTCTAGAGGATCCTCAGGCGTCAGAGTAATTTTTAGTCAAGATTAGGCGAATGTAGAATTTTGCCAGTTTCTCATTAAAATACAAGGCCTATATAATGATTGCACTGATAACCTCTATGGAAAAGGACATTTACTTCCTATTTTATTCTTTGCAGAGTTTAAGGAAAATGGCCATTATAACTACTCACCTGCAATACCAGTAAGTACACACTTTGTGTGGTGTATGTAGTTAGAGCTACTAAAGTTTTATTTTCTACTGCCAGAGTCCTAGGATGGCCTGTATTATTAATTTTAGGCTAAAGTGATTGAATTAAATCAAATATCATATATCTTTGAGGGACTGATTAGAAAAATAAAAGAGGTGATCATTTGCCATTGAGATTTGTCTGTGCGCAGCTGTACTTCACAGACAGGTGTGTAAGTTCAGTTCTGGAAATCATGGCAGTGACTTTAAGCTTTTGGATCTGTCTTTGGGTTGTTGTTTTTTTTAGCTTCTTGGGCTGTAAATCAGTCTTCTTTTCTTCGGAAGGCTGTTATTGCTGTCATCCACTTTCTCCATTCTACTCCCCCCCCGGCTGATTTTCATTAAATAATTCCCTTATAATTGAGTTTTCCTATTGTTTTTTTCTAGGCAAGAAGCTATTCAGAAAAAGTAAGTTTGCTGTGCTTTATTTGGTTGGGAAATTAGCTTTAAAATTTCCATTCAAGAGGTCTTCATTGCTATTCATACTTTGTTCATGTTAACTTGATGATAAAATAAATATTGTTAGACTCACGCCACTTTTGTAGAGTGTTTAGAATATTCCTCCTGCCAGAGAAATATTAAAAGTAATTAAAATGGCGGATCTTTTAAAAATGTTTCTTGCCACAGCACAATAAGCAATAAATGTGTGAAGAATGTCTAGTAAAGTTTCATGGTTTGGGGGGGGAAGCAAATGTGGCTTACACTAGTTCAGAAGGCCATATTTTACATTTTTCTATGATGGTTCCTTTTCCCTGTGCTTTTGACTGTGAGATACAGACACACTTAACTAGTCAGCAAATGCTGTTGGACTTACTTATGAGTAAGTCTCCACAAGATTGTTAGGTAAATATTCCACTTTTAAGTAGTACATTGATTCTGCTAATAAATATAGCATTTCAAAGCCATCAGTAGAAAGTGTAATAATTTCTGATTCATTTTGCCTTGATGCTTCTTGAGCTTTCTGTCAGGAGTGTGTGCCCCAATCCTAGCTATGTTTACCCAGAAGTAAGTTGAGATGTATTAAGTAAGTATCCATGAAGGATTTTTCGCCGCCTGGCTTGTTGTTATGACAGCTGTTTTTATATCTGAGTTCAAAAGAGATTTAGTTTTGCTATTTGTTTGTTCTTTATATCTATTCTTTAAATTTCTCTAGTATTTGTGAAACATTGCAAAAATACTTTCTGGTTAATCACTAGGGTATTAAATTTTAGAATTAAATTTAAAAATAGAAGTATCTGCTCCCCGATTGTGAATACAAAATATTCACTTTTGTAATCCATATACAGACGTACAGTATGGTTTGGGATGAACAGATCAGTGGACAGAGATAGTGCACTTAGATTATTCCAATACACTTAGATCCATCCTTTACATTGAAGAAGCAGCTCTAAATGGCTCATTTGTAATGGTTGTTGAATACATCTCAATATCCCTGACTGCCTATTGAAATCTTCCTTTTCCTTTTTAGTGTTGAACAGTCTTCAAATCTGCGCGATCAATTAAGACATCTTTTGAAATGATGGGAGACTGGTGCGTGGTATTAATGAGCAGCTACAAACTGATGGGGGAAAACACGTATAGGAGGACCACCTACCCCTGTTCTTTCTCCAGCTTTAGCAAAGGCACTTTTGGGACTGACTACTGACATAGTCTAGAAGACATCTGTCAGTTGTGAGGATACAAATTTGATATTGCTTCACATATTAGACGTTGGCTTTGAAATGGAGGAGGCAGTTAATTGTTTGGTTGCCTACATTGCTTTTGTATCTCATTGTATTTAATTAAAGACTTTAATCCTAACTTTCACTTTAGTGTTTATGTTCTTTTCTCTTTAGAGAACTAAAGCATAGGGTTCATTTCCCCAAGAATTCACAATCCTGCAGAACAGAGGTGGTCAAACCCCGGTCTGCAACCCGGTGCTGGTCCGTGGCCTGAGCCAGACTGGGCCCCGGAGACAGACCTCCCGCCCCCCCTGCACTCCCCTCCCCACAGCAGCTTTGCGCACATGCACGTGCGCTGGCATGAACGCTCCCCAACCCCTTCACGCATGCGCCAAAGTGCCCATGTGGACTTGCACATGTGCAAAGGGGCGGGATAGCGCTCATGTCAGCACTGGCGGGCGCACACACGCTAGCCCACTGCTTCATGCATGTGCCTGAGAGAGAGAGAGCGCATGCGCCCGAGAGCACACACACGGGGGTGCCACGCTTTCCTCAGAGGCTCAGCTAGTCCGTGGTCCCAAAAAGGTTGGGGACCGCTGCTGCAGAGCACAGATAAAATGCATCTTGTTTTGGTGTTGAGTACTTTTAATTGATTAAATTATTCTCCTTTGGTGTTGAGTACTTTTAATTGATTAAATTCTTCTCCTTTCAGACTATATGAAAGCTTGGTTAGGGTAATCTATAGTGGGAATTTCTTCTGCTTGCAGTACAGATTTAGTCATGTGTAGTATTTTGAGGTCAAGAACAGAAAGCCTAATCCTGTGCATAGTGTTATTTGTGCAAGATTCCAGCACCTGACAAAGATTGTAAAAGATATACTAATCTGTTTTAGCATTGAAAACAAAAAATCTCGTGACACTTTAAATACTAACGTATTTATTTTAGTGAATTTTGTGATACAGTCTGCTTCCTCAAACATTTGGAGTACAATATTTAAGCCACATGTTTATATATAGAGGCCAAAACCTTCGTACGTAGCTGCAGAAATTATGTAACCTTTGGATCAGATTGCCCCAAGAAATCATGGTAGAACTTACCATTTGCATGTTGAGTCAAAAGACTCACTATTGCCCCAAGTTAAGAAATCACCATAGACATTACCAGTTGCAAGCTGAGTCATAGAACTCAGTATGCAACTGATAACGTCTGCACTGATTTGTTAACTTGAAACAGTTTGCTTCCAAAAGTTATGCTGTTTGTTCTATAGCAGGCATAACTAGGTAAGAGGATTTAGGCCAGTGGTTATAGGAACACAGTAGAACTTATTTATTTATTAGACTTTTACCCCACCCATCTGGACTATAGGTCTACTCTGGGTGGCAGAATTGAGTTCAGAAGGTGACACTTGCTTCATTAACACCATGTTGATTACATAAATATCCTAGCAGTAGGTAATCAGCCTGTGTTGAATGTCTGAGGCTGATTTTCTCTTTGAGGTATTGAAGTGGTAAGTTTTGCTCTCAATAAGTAGTAAGTTGTGCTGAGGCCAGAGGTTTTATGGGGAAAAAACACAACTTTTTGATGGTACACAAACGTATCAGGAAACTGGGTTATTCATATATATTGTCTGAAATCCTCTAGTACAACTTGATGATGAGCAGGTACTATTACATTATTCTGTGACAGTAATATTTAATTAAATTGAAAGCTTCCTCTCTCTCTTTCAGGTTCTGAGGCTCCCTAGGGCTACCTTTTGTCCTAGGGAAACCTTTGGGAGCCTTGGGATGTGGAGGCGAGCCCTTAATATCCAAACATTGCTGCCAAATTGGCAGGAGTGGTCAACCTTAGCAGTAGGATTGCAGTTGGTGATTTTTAGCTATTGAAGTCTCATGTCCTCAGGCTCCCAAAGGCTTCTCCAAGGAAGCTCTAGGGAGCTTTGAAACCTGAAAGGGAGGGAAGTAGGAAGCTTTCAATTAAATTAAATGTTGCCGTTGCAGAATTATGACATCATCCTACTTTTGTGGTGTAAAATTACATCAAGAGAATTTCAGCCATAATGTGCTAAGACGCTTTGGTTTTTATTTAAACTTCTAATTGAATATTTCCAAGTTAAGCAGCTCCTTCTCAGATTTCTCTTTGAAATTCATTTTGTGTACTACAGTCACTTTTGAGATTATGGGCACAGTTTTCCAAGACGTGGAAAACTGAATTGTTCTGAGGTTGGCTTTGTATTTTGCCTTGTATGATGTCCTATCTTCCACTGTCCGAGAGGCAGTAGAAGATAGGAGGGCCTGGCGTGCTGTAGTCCATGGAGTCACAAAGAGTCAGACACGACTTAACAACTAAACAACAACAACATGATGTCTATTCTTTTGCATGCAGACACGACTTGACTAAACAACAACAACATGATGTCTATTTATTCTTTTGCATAGTGATTGTTTTGTTCATGTTGAATGCAGAAGTGGATTGCAATTCACTAAATTTCACACTGAGGAAATTTTGTTAAGTCTTAAAGGTGCCATCTGGCTTAGTTTGGTTTTTTTCTAGATGATGATTATGAATGCTTTGGATTACATTTGCTAGGTTAATATGAACATGATATATTAATCCCGAAAAACCCACAACAACCATGAGGTATTTTTGTTAAGTCTTAAAGTTGCCATCTGGCTTAGTTTGGTTTTTCTCTAGACGATGATTATGCATGCTTTGGATTACATTTGCTAGGTTAATATGAACATGATATATTAATGATTACTGTTCTTTGTTAATATTTTTACTTGCCTTGTTTGTTGCAAACTGAAGAGTAGCATTTTGCATCCCTCAAGATCTAACTTATATTTATATCTCTGAAGGGAAGAGATATGTTTTTAGTTATTATAATCCTTTTCTCATTACAATATCAGTTACATAAGCTGTGCTGGAACAATGCTAGTACTGTATGTTTCTCTACTTGTGTGTGCATCTGTGTATATACTCCTTTTGTCTGTCTTGACCTTGAACTACAATGCTTCTCACTTATTACAAAGGCTCTTGATTAAGGAGCTGTGGTTTCCTTATGCAATTTTCCACAGATTCAATAATCCAGATAAGTATATCCGTAGCTGGAGAGTGATGGGACATATCTCATTTTCATAGTGCTGTGCACTGAGCCAATTTAAAATCAACTGAAAAGCAGAATTGCTACTTTATACATTTAAAATATATTAGCTTTTCTTTCTCGATTAATTAGCAATGCCATTTTCTGTTCTGTGATAAAGAAGTCCTCACAATTTATTTCTAAATCACTACAACGTGAAAGGAGAAAAGTCTTTTTTTAAACGAACATGAGTTCAACATATAGCTGTGGAAAACAGTGAATGGGTTCTTGTGTTTTGTGCATAATATAATTTGTTTTTCTATGATGACCATTGGTTATGTAACAAATTACACCAGATGTGCAAAAGAAAGGAGGCATCAGTTTTCAGTAGGTTGGCAGAATTACAAGAAAATAATTAAAATAAAAATTGAAGAATATGTGATTAAACTTTTTGGTGAGGACTGCCTGTACTCAGTGCCTGTGGAGTGCTGAATGGAGATGAGCTAGAAAACTGGTTTGAAAACAGAGTAAGGTATTGTGGATTATTTGGTTAGCTTCCTGGAACACCGAACACACATTTAAGTGCAGTTTCCATCTGTACTCTTATTGTTTACTGATTCCATTCTTAACTGATAGTTAAATAAAACAAAAACAAACAAAAGTCTTGTTTTCCATTTATGGTGATTATTGCAGTTAATTTCTGAGATATGTACATTTTTAATATGCCTATGATTTATAATGGTAGCATATGTTCTTTAATATCAAAAAGTTTATAAGATGTAAAAGGATTTGGTTTAAAATCCAATATTTTGCAAAAGTGTGTGATTCTTTTTCTGCAGTTTTATTAGCATATTTTAAGTAAGAATAAAGTTTAATAGATTGACGATCAATACAATTTCTCACAGGCCAAATGCATGTATAGAAGAGTAAAAGAAAAGCTTTGACTAAATTCAATATGCAAGCTTGCTGTTAACCAGGTCCTAATTAGATATTGATTTGCATTGATATCAAACAATGAAATATGCCATCGGAACATATTGTATCATTATCCAAAGTACAGTAAGGTATATTGTGGTGCATTTGCAAATCGTGACGCACAAAAGCTCAGACTGAAGTAACATTTTTGATCATAAAATAGCCATATTATTTGGTGTGTTTCTCGTCGCTGAAACAGATTACTGTATCAGGGTTACTTCTGTGAAGGCATGATGGTTGTACACGAGTACCAAAGACAGAACACGTCAAAACCCAAGGAAACAAGAGTAGGAGATGGGTGTTGCAGTCGCGTCCTGTGTCTTCCCAGGCTACCTGTTGATTTATTGTCAACCATATTGGGTAACGGGACGTTGGGAATTAGCAGAAGCCAGGCCCTGGATATAGAGAGGATTGAAAGCGGTAAGGAGCCAGTCCGCAACGGCAGCTGCAGGGCTGGCGCTGCACATTCATCACACGGTTGCAAGAAGGGCTCCTCAAAGCTCGGCCAGCGTCGGAATCTGGCCGAAAGATTTAGTGCGGGAAGCGGGCAGGAGAACTGCAGAAAACCCACGACCGCATCTCGCAGAGTCGGGGCCCCCACCGCCCACAAAAACCAGCCATATCAGCTTCCGGGAACAGCTTGGCCACGCCTTGGACGACGATAGGGGGCGGCCCGGCCTCGAACCGGCAATAACGAGCGCGCCCGCCCGTCTTCGGCGTAGCGTAGTTCCGTCCCAAGTATTGCAGGGAGCGACGTTTTTTCCCATAGGACTTTTATAGGGCGGGAGCGAGGCCTGAGGCAGCGCTCAGAGTAAGCTTGTGGAGCATTGGGGTGAAATGTTTCCTGGGGAGGGAAAAAACGTCCAACGTACAGGTGTTGGTGGTGGGGATAGGAGAGGGAATAGAAACCCAGTTACAATCTTTTGGGGATTGCACAGCCCTCATACGGGGTTGCGTGGATCGCGTAGGGAGGGGTTCTGATAGTCTTCCTTCTGCGACTTTGGCTTCCCACCCAAATACGAACACCAAACCCCTGACTCCCTTTTCTTGCCTTGCAGTGGCTGCGGAGCGGATATACCGAGAGGTGCAGGTGAGAGGTGGGATCCAGTGTTATTGAGGCCTTAACACGCTTCATTTCTGCTCTGTCGGAGCCTGCGGTTAGCACGAGTGGACACTTCGCGTTTTCCCAGTACAGTATTTCACTACAAACCTAAAGGAGAAGTTACATATTTTATGGCCAGAGGCTTCTTTCCTTACTTGTCGTCAAGGCCTGTTTCTCTCGCCTCTGATAGAAATATTTCCTTTCAATCAGAATGTTGGCAGTGCCTTGTGGAACTTGACCAGGGCTTTAGTTGGCTGTTGCCCTCAAGTAGCTTATGATTTATGGTGACCTTAACAGATTTTTGAGGGTTTGGGTATATGCAAGGAGTGGTATATCGTTGCCACTCCCTAGTAAGTTTCCATGGCCAAGTTAAAATTTGAACCCTTTTTTCCTGAAATACTTCATCCACTACACAAAATGCCTCTTCCTTTAATTTCTTAGAAAATAAGTTCGGCCTGATGCGACAATGCAATATGTATTGCATTGGTGTACTACTAGTATTGTGGGTGTTCTGCTCGTAACGACAAGTACATATCCTTGTAGTCACACTTCCAGGCGAGTGCCAAAATGCAAGCAGCCGTTGCCCCATCTTAACAAGCCAGTTTTCATTTCCATCAGGAGCAGATCTTTTGTAAAGCTAGTGGATCTTGATTGCTCATTCAAGAAGAAGCCATTCTAAAATATTTTGTATTACAACTCGCTACAATACGTTGCTGCTGGGGAAATCTCCCTCATTACCATTTCACTCTAGCTACTTTGAGGGTTGCAGCAAAGCTTAGAGGGGAAAGAGGAATTAAAAGAGTTGGCAGATGATGCTTCCTTCACTACCAAGTATAAAGTCCTAGCACTTTGTCTATGCAAACACAGTACTACAGATTACTGTATGTATAACAAAAGATAAGAACTGGGTGAAGTGTAGCAAGTGTAGCATTTTTCATTAGCAAAAGGACAGCAAAACAATTGTTCTCAGGCATTGTCAAAGTAACTTAGTGTTTCTAAAAATATTTCAACATCATTTTAAAGGTATCCTCTGTTCACCTGTCCAACTTTTCAAACATATGCAGCACAGTTTAATGTTGTATTAATGATGACTGGAGCCTAGTAAGTCTAAGCATGGAAGTCCTTTCAATAATGTCTAGATCATAGATTGGTTGTATATGGCAGTTGTTTCTGTGTTGTTTTTCTCCCCTAAGGATTATTATGCTAAAGAGTTGAAGACAAGAGAGGATCTGAAAACCAATGCTTGCATTACTTTAACAAAGCCTTTGCCCACGTTTATCAAAGAAGCACTGCAGTGTGTCCATGAGGAGGTTTCAGCAAAGTACGGTATTGAGTTTTTGAGCCAACTCTGATCATATGAATTACTTTAAAATTGATTGTATAGAGGAGAAATATCTTTTTTAAAATTATTTTTTATCTGATGAGAAGACGTTATTTCCTCCCCCCCCGCAAGTGTGTTAATTTTACTTTACTTTTTAATTTATTTGGACTTATACCCCGCTCGTCTAGACAAAGTGTACTTGGGGCACCTTACAGGAGTGATAAAATACAATAAAATAAAATACAGTACAATACAATCACATACATAAAAATAAAACCTACTAACAGATGCATATATAGATTATCAAGATGAGATAATTGAGAAACAAAGATCAATTAATTGACTGGAGGGAAGGCCTGTCTAAAGAGCCAAGTTTTTAAATGGTTTTTAAAAATGCCCAGCGAGGGAGCCAAGCGGATTTCCGTTGGGAGAGTGTTCCACAACCGAGGGGCCACTGCCGAGAAGGCCTGGTTTCTTGTTCTTTCCTTCCGGGCTTCTCTCGGCGTAAGGCCCCTCAGCTGTCCCTGCTGGCTTTGTTGAGTGATTCGGGTAGACCTGGGTGGGAGAAGGCGCTCTGCCAGGTACCGAGGTCCCAAACCATTTAGGGCTTTATTCGTCATCATTAAAACTTTGAAATCAATGCAGGAACGAATGGGCAACCAGTGCAAAGTAGCCAGGGTGGGGGAGATATGCTGATATTTCTTCACCCCACTAAGGAGCCTGGCTGCCGCATTTTACACCATTTGAAGTAATATGAGGTGCAATAGAAAGGATAGAGCTGTAAGCTTTAATGGGCAGATTAATCACCACCAATACAATAGTTTGGTTCTGGAGTGTCAGTATAAAAGAAAAAAGACAGGAAAATAACAGTTAGTTTTTAGGGCCTAAATTATAAAGTAATAATACCTGTTCAAAGAAAAACTTTTATGCCTGTAATATAAGAAATGCAGATCTGTATTAACTGATTGGTCAGTTAAAGTATGGATAATTTATTGATTCAGTTCCATAAGTATTGTGGTTGCTTAAGTCGTGATCTCCATGAAGAAAACCTACTTTTTTTGTAAGATAGCAGTACTTGTGCAAGCAGTGTGAATTTACATTTCTATGCTGTTGGGACTTTCTGCTGAATAGCATACTATTGTCTCACCAGCCAACCTAGGAGTCAGCAACACTTAGTGGGATTTCTTTTTCTTTTTAAAAATTAAATATTAATAATGTTAACAAAGAAGTGAGAAGAGGTAGAAACTAACAAACAAAACAGATAGTTCCGAGCAGTCACTCATAGAAGCAAAACTTCACCTGCATGAAGATACAGTATAGGGGGCAAGGTTCTTGCTAAGCTGGGCATGCGTACAACTCTGCTTCCCTCAACACAGCTCTCTTCTCTGTGCAGCAGTTGTGTTCGGTTCTGGTTGTGACAGAACCCAGCGTGTGGGGGGCGGAGTCATGCATGCACACAGGGGCGAAGCCCCGAGTGCAAGAGGCAGAGCCCTGCCCAGTGGGATTGAAAATTAGACGGTGCGGTGTATTGATTGGGGGGGGGGGTCAGACCAAAGTCTATTGTTTGAGAGGGAAAAGTTCAACAATCAAAGGCCACTCTTCAAGAATTTCAGAGGATCAGCAGATTGGCCATATGGTGATGAGTCTTCATTTGCAGATAAAATAAATGGATACCATATAGCAGCAAATGTATCTTCTCTTTTGCTTTCTTTGTTTTAGATGCCCATTTCTCAAATACTGTGATAGATCAGATGCTCTCAAATCAATTATGCACATTGAGACCTTCTTAAGCTTTGCAGTGCCTTAGCAATAAGGTGTGTTTTTGTGGACAGTTGGATAAGACAAAATAACTTGGCACCAACGTACTCTCTAATTTTCAGTCCCCTTTGGCAGGGCTCCACTTCCCTATAATGATTTTGCCCCTGAGCTTGCATGACTCCGCCCCCCACACATAGGGTTCCTTTGCGACCAGAACCTAATGCAATTGCTGTGTGAAGGAAGACAGCTGTGCACAAGGAGGCAGAGACATGCGCACGCAGGGGCCCAGCTTAGAGAGAACCTTGTTTGGCACTGTTTGTTTAATTGTAAAGGTGACAGATATATGTAATTGATGTGGGTCAGGGTACTCTTATCATTATCTACCACTCCTTGAATATGTTTGTGCTAATTGGTATGAATATATAATAGTGTGATCACTTTGATTTCAAAAGTATTAGCCTATGGCCTAACTGTTCACTACTAGTAGGAGAGTACTGAGGAGAAACAGGTGAAATCAAAACAGCTGTATATATCATGGAAAGTGTGCTGATATGTATCGACCTGCCACATCATACCATCTCATCTTTTTCTATCAAAACTATGTTTCTTTTCCATACTGTCTTGTACTTTCTTTCCACAGGTTCTATGGTTGTGGTCTGGTGGTTCCAGAATGTGTGGAAGACTGCTTGATATTGGATTTGGGCAGTGGAAGTGGCCGAGACTGTTACATGCTCAGTAAGCTGATTGGGGAGAATGGGCATGTAACTGGAATAGACATAACTGAGAGCCAGGTAAGAACTGGATCTTTAGTTCAGGACTGAAATTCTGTCTTGGCAGAAGGTTGGTAGGAAGGACATGAGCAAATAATGCCTTAGATTTTTAACCAAGTTTACATCTGTTCTCAATCACTATCTGGATTATCACCACCACAATGGAATTAAAGTGTCCACTTCCAAGTTTTGAGCAATGAAGAGAATGCCTCTTCTGACCTGCAGAATGATTTGGAAACTGAGGCTGTGACTACATGGTCAAATACCACAGGATTTGCTCTGCTTATACAATTGGTGAATTTTAAGTATTTTTACTGCCCATATGATGAAACAGTTGATTTGAATCAATCCAGCCCTTTTTGCTCCCAAAGTGGCTTTTCTTTTCTGCCACTGGGGGATGGGGGCTTCTACTTTTTCAGGCTGGAACAATTTGAATAGGCTTCCTCCCATGTACTTAATTGTGATTCTTGTAAAGACGGGGGATATGTCTGTATGTGTATCTGAAGATCCTCAGTCATCCAAGTGAGATTATCTGGAAGTTTGAGTTATAGCAACTGAACTTCTTATTAGGTTGAAACTTTTAGCTACTCATCTGAGCAGCCTCTTCAGTCTGAGGAGAGTTGGTAGGAGATATATCTTCCACTTTGGTGTCACTCCCCCCCTGGTCTGAATAGGCTTGTTAGATGGCCAAAGGACTGGGGGGTGAGTGAAAATCCCACTTCTGCAGTCCTCCACCCGTTGTCATGGATCATTAACAGTGGTCTATCTGGTGAGCGTGGTCCTGATCTTTCTGGGAAGGATGAAAGGGCAGCATGATAAAGAGGAAACAGATTGTATCTAAGACCTCCAACCCTGTTGAGTGAGGGATTTTCTATATGCACAGGCATGGACTGTCTCAAAGCACTTCTCTTCTGGGTTCAAAATGAGTACATCTTGGTCATCAAATGAGTGTCCTTTGTCCTTCAAATGAAGGACCACTGCTTATTGTGGTCCTGAGCCATTGCCCCTCCTGTGCTGGGCCATTATCCTGTTTGGCTGTTTGGTTTCTCTAGTGTAGAGCTCCAAACACTCCTCTTTGCATTGGACTACATCAAAAGCTTAAAAGGATTTTTGGTGAACACCATGTACCTGTGCGCTTCAAACCCACAAACATACTAAGTCAGAGACTTGTCCACCAAAAAGACTAGACACCAAAACACTACGGGAGCAATATAGTTGTAAGCCGCCCAGAGACCTTTGGGTAGAGTGGGTGGCATATAAGTTAAATAAATAAATAAAATAAATAGTACCATATTTTTCTGTGTATAATTCACCCCCACGTGTAAGACCCCCCCTTTTCTAACCCAGAATTTCTTTCTTTGCAAGCAAGTGGAAGGGGGAGGCAGGAATCATCAAAGCAATTCATCAAAGCGATTCCTGCTTTCCCCCTCCACTTTTTGCGAAGAAAGTGGAGGGGGAAAGCAGAGATCAAAGTGCTTTGATCCCCCTTACTTCTGTGTATAAGACAATCCTAAATTTTTTCCTTAAATATTTTAGATAAAATTATCATCTTATACATGGAAAAATACGGTATATGCAGTCCAATGCAAAGAGGAGTGTTTGGAGCTCTACACCGGAGAAACCAAACATTTTCACTCACTCCCAGTCCTTAGTCATCTAATGAGCTTATTCAGACTGAAGAAGCTACTTGGATGAGTAGCGAAAAAATTTCAGCCTAATAAGAAAGAAGTCCAGTTGCCATGACTCAACTTCCAGATGTCTGTAGGTGGTGTTTCAGTGACATAGGCAGTTGGAGTATGATGTTCAGGGCTGGGGGAACATGGCTCCACTCTCTTTCCTCTGATCATTCAGTAAATTATTTTTTTAATCTATTTTTTAAATTTATGAGATTAGTACTAGATCACCCTATCACCTTATTGCTGGGTCATTCTTCTTCTTTCTTGTACTTACACCCCATAAAAGGATCAGCAGAAGTGGGACTAGAGGAAGGAAGGAAAGAAGGGGGGAGCCTTGGTGCAAATCATATTGCATCCAATATGATGGGTGAACTCGGAAATCAGTCTTCAGCCTCTGTGTGAGAACTGACTTCTATTTCAAACATAATACAGGCTGTGAATCAAATTGCAGAAAAGCTGACTTGTTTCATTTGGGATTTCCAGTGTAGTAACACAGGAAGAAAGCCCACTGTTTCTGTTCTTCTCCAGTGTTTTCTGCATGTTGGACAAGTTGGGGCCTCCGCCTCTACAAGCAAGGAGGGTTGTAGGAAGAGGCAGGGACTTGTGGACAGCTTTTGAGAAGGATAGAAGCAGCAGACATTTATCTTGCTTCTTTTGTCCTGCTTCAGGACAAAATCTGTCCTGATTTTAATCTGTCTTGGGTCTTTTCCCAATGTTTCGTGTAAGTGAAAGGAGACCTCACCTCACCTTGGAGCCCTCGGGTAACCAAGGACAACCAGGGCCTTGCCCATTTCCTGAAAGGCTTGGGTAAGGATAGAAACAATAAGAGAGATCAGTGTTGGTTTTGTTATTACTGTATTATTTTTTGTAAATAGCTGAACTGCTGTGTTCCTTGCCATAGCAGAAGGGACATTTAGTCCTGGTGAATTAAGAAGTTGCACTGCAGATGCTAATGTGCTGACAGTCCTTTTTGTTCTCATTCTGCATCCCTACCCCATACTTTCCCTCATGGTGCCAGTGTTTCCATGATGATTGCCATTTTGGCATCTCAAGTCACGTGTAGCTTTTGGAAGCTTTTAACTCTGTTTCAATTTAAGATTTATTTTTCCAGCATTATATGGATTGACCTTGGTTGTCGGATTTCATGTAGTAAATTAGTCTCCTCCAAAACTGGATGCTGACATTTTAATAATTTGCTTGTTTTATTTCCCATTCTTCAGGTAGAAGTAGCAAAGAAACACATTGATTATCATATGAATAAGTTTGGCTACCAGAAGCCCAATGTGAACTTCATCCGTGGTGCCATAGAAAAACTGGATGAAGCAGGCCTGAAGAGCGAAAGCTTTGATATTGTAATGTAGGTGCTCTTTCTAGTTCCTTCCTGTCACAACCATCCTATAAGCTAACACCACTTGTCTCAGTACCCGGTCGCTCACCATCAATCTCTGACGTGCCTCTTGCATGTACCTAGATTATGGACCCAATCTCAGGCACTGACCACATCCTTTACTACACTGCCACCAGTTGATCTCTTTACTAGCTATGTTTACTGTGAAAAACTGAGGTCCATTCAGTACTTCACTTTGAAATAAGAAGAGGTTTATTGGTTACAAGTTGTTTCATGAATAGTTCTTAAGGAAAATCTTAAAGTTACACAAAGCATCCCATGTATTCCTTTAACCTCTTCTATAGGTAAAGGTAAAGATTTCCCTTGACATTTAATCCAGTCGTGTCTGACTCTGTTTTGTTTGAGGTGTTCGTTTTAATTTCAGGTGTCGTATGCCACACCACACATTGACTGGGAATTTGCAGATTTTCATAGTCCCCAAATACCAGTTCCTCCTCTGCAGGGTTGGTCCAAACCTCAGACCGCAGTAAACAGTAAATGAATAACAGAGAATGATACCCAGTATTGGTTTTAGAAGGAGTTCTGAAGAGTTTACCAACATAAAAGCACACACTGGGTTCCCACTTCTGGAAGCAACTTTCCTGGACACAGGAGGGGTTGCTTAGCTCTCCCTTATGCTCATTGATTCTTCTCTTCAGATGCCTTTTGCTCTGTAACACTTTTACTGTTTTCCCCCCTTTTGATGTAATTCTGAGACTAGACAAAATCCTTGTACAAGACCTATGCACGATCCCGCCGTCCTGCGTGTATGTGTGTTAGTCTAATTCTAACATTTGCTGGGGAAAACTTAATAGTATGAGAATAGTGAGCAGTTCTTCCCCCTTTACAGCTGCTTCTCTTCTACAGATGCCTCTTTGAGCCCTTGCATTCATTTTCACAGCAAAGAGATTTGAGGTGTACATGTTTGTCAGTATATTCGTCTTGGCATTTTGGAAGCAAGCTGGATCTGCAGCAGAGAGATTTTTCAGTGGTTGAAACAGTATAGATTTAGCAGGATTTAGAGTAGGAAAAATGAATGGTTGAATCTCCTGATGATTGTTCACCACATCTGCTATCATCCTGCACCATTCACTGTATTGGCTAGGGTTGATAGGAACAGCAGTCCAGCAGCTGAAGAACTGCATTTTCCCCATCTCTAGTTTAGAGGGGATAAGGATAGCTTCTCTAATTGGGATTTCAAACCTGTTAAAAATAAATTAATTTTATAAATTGAAATGTGTCTGCAGTCCCTTATTTTGCCCAGTGCTGGTCTTATGGGAATATAGCAGAATTCCTTCAGGACAGAAGACATGCCCGGGCATTTCTATGCATTAGCACTGTGGAAGATCAGAATTTCTGCATAGCTTTACTCCTATATTGCCTTACTTCATCGTGAATATCAACATTTGCTGTTTGGTTTCCTTCTTTAAGGTAGTTAAATTAATTTTTTCCTCCTATTTAGCTCCAATTGTGTGGTTAATCTGTCCCCTGACAAAAGAGCTGTCCTACGTGAGGTTTATAGAGTGTTAAAGGTAAAGTTTGATCTGTTTGTATAATGCATGCATCCACAGTGCACATCAGAGAATGGATGGTGGAAAGAAAAGTGGGGTTGTGACTTGCAACAGACAAGAAAAATTTTCTACTGGAAATAGCTCAGTTCAGACATGCTCACAGATGGGACAAATATTCAGTTTGTTCCAAGTGCACAGCTGCTCTTAATAGAAGTATAAAATACTGCTATTTTAGGATGCATTAACAGAAGTATATCAGGCTAAGTGCAAAAAAACAAGACAAGACAAAACATTTGGCACCTTAAGGACTATTATATCTTAATACAAATCCACGAACGCTCACATTAAAATATAATAGTCTTTAAAGTGCCATGTATTTTCATCTTTGTTTTTGTTTCTTTGGACTTTGCCTGATCGGCCTGCACAGACTAATGTGGCTACCTCTTTTAAAACTATTAACAGAAGTATTGTCTCCAAGTCCTGTGAGTTACTAGTCCCCCCTCTATTCAGCACTGGTTAGGTGTCATCTAGAGTACTGTGCCCAGTTCTGGACACCACACTTTAAGAAGGATGCCGACAAACTGGAGCAATTTTGGAGGTGGGCCAGTAGGATGATCAAGGGGCTGGAGGAAAGACTGAAAGAACTGTGGATGGCTAGCCTTGAAAAAAGAAAGCTGAGGGAAGATCTGATAGCCTTTTTCAAATACTTCCAAAGTAGTAATACAGAGGAGGACCAGGATCAGTTCTCGATCATCCCGGAATGCAGGACATGTAACAATAGACTCAAGCTGCAGGAAGCCAGTTTAAAGCTGAATATCAGGGAAAAACTTCGTAACTGTTAGAGCAGTACAACAGTGGAATGAATTACCTCAGGAGGTGATGAGCGCTCTAATGTTGCAGGTGTTCGAGAGAAAATTGGAGAACGATTTGTCACATCTGCTTTGACTTGGATTCCTGCCTTAAGCAGAGCATTGGACTCAATGGCCTTCTGGTCGCCTTCCAAGTCAGTTCTATGGTTCTGTGAAGCATTTGGACAGATAAATGTGCAAATAAATACAGAGCACAGGGTCTGTTCTTAAGGGTTTTAGCAGAATGAGCAGAGCTTGGAAAATTTAGTTTTGTGCGCTTCATGTTCCACAATCTCCCAGTCAGGTCCTAAAGAATGTGGAAGAAATACAAAGTCTAGTGTCCCTCTGTTGCTACTGCCCATGTTGTCTTTGAGATTCTGGGAATTATAGTCCAAAAAAGTAAGTTTTCCAAGCTCTAAGAATGAGATGTACAACTTGGATTGAGATTTTGACTGTGAAGTTTTTGGGTTCCTGACTGTTGCTACTTCCTCTGTACAAAGAAAGGAGGAACAGGAGGAGTATTGACTTTCCTACAAGGAAAGACTGGGTTGCTTCCAAAGACCTTGACTGATGAGTGTATCTGGCTGAGTTGCATTACGTTGCAGACACAGCACATCCATGGCAGATGATTTTGGGGGGAGGGCAGTGAAGAGTGGCTGGCATTTCAGCTTCAGTGAAACTATTCCCTTGACTTTGATGAAGTCGTAATATCTCCTTTCCCCCTCAAGCATATTGTTTTTTGGCTATGAGAAAGTGGATGTTTTATTTATTTGCTTGCTGTTGACCTATTTTCCAGGTGGGAGGGGAGATGTATTTCACTGACGTGTATGCCAGCCATGATCTGCCGGAAGTGAGCAGGAAACACAGAGTCTTATGGGGTGAGTGGATTTGCCTACCCAGACCCCCAACTGTGAATATAGGGTTGCAAAATCCAAAGCTTGCATTGCATTTTCCAATCAAACATATCTCATGAGATTTGCTTCATATTGGATCATTTCCATCTTACAATGTATTTCATTCTTCTCCCAGCTCATAGTCTGTTTCAGTCTGCAGGCAGTTATGTGCATGCAGCCTGCTGCTATATGTCAGGTCTGTAGTTTGAGATATAAGTCTTGCAAAGATGTCTCTTGACCCCTTCCTGAAAGCCAGGCATGTTATTTCAGGATTCTCAAGATCCAGTTTGTTTTCTAGAATGTCACCTTGTTGTTCCCTTCAGATAGTCTGTCCCTTGAGGCATAGTGTTGGGCAGCTACTCCATAGTTCAACAATTACAATTGGTGTGTGTGAGAGAAACATCCATTCACCCACCCATCCACCCACCCACCCATCCACCTTTCTCTTTAAAAGGGCCCATTTGTGCATTCTTATGTGCAGTGTTGCAAACAAGTTTTTGCTTATGTAGTGCACATATTCGGAAAACTTCTATTTTTATGAAGCTTGTTAATCGATGCAAATTTATGCTAATTTCACTTCCCTTGACTAGCACTGAGGCAACACAGGGCAACAACAACAGCTGTAAATTCTTTGTTGGAATTTTTAGCACCCTGATCTGATGAGGAGAGACAGAGAGTCATTGTCTTTCCACACCTGGCCTATGTACTTTTTATATGCTATTGATTTTTTTGATTACTTGGGCACCTTTTGTCCTTGTGCCATCTTTAGGCGAGTGCCTAGGAGGAGCCCTGTGGTGGAAGGATCTCTACAAAATTGCTCAGGAAGTTGGATTCCAGCCACCTCGGTTGGTGACTGCCTCCCGAATAACTATTGGCAACAAGGAGCTGGAAAGTGTTGTGGGTAAGAAACAAGCAAACCCTAATACATTTTGCAAGGCTAGAATGTAGTACAGTGGGGTCTTGACTTGAGAATTTAATCCGTATTGGAAGGCGGTTCTCAAGTCAAAAAGTCTGTAAGTCAAGTCTCCATTGACCTACAGTGCATTGAAAACTGATTAATCCCGTAACAGGCCGTTTTTGTTCCATTTTGGGTTTTTTCTGGTCTGTAAGTCAAATCTCAGTCTCAAGTCAAACCTAAATTTTGCAGCCAGAGAAGTCTGTAACTCAAAAAGTCTGTAAGTCAAGCCGTCTGTAAGTCAAGGGTCCACTGTAAGCCTCCAACTACTTTGCCTCATCTCATTCTTGTTCTTGCTCCTCTTCTTGGTATGAACACATCCATTGACCTGAAGGTACTGTGAAGGCTACATTTCCCAGATGCAGTCTGGTATGAAAGAGGAGGTGGTTTAAGTATAAGGAAAGGGCGCTTCATCATTCACTGTTTGGATGAAAAAAGGCATTGGGACTGAGACTTGGGCCAAGACCTTGAGCTAGCCATGCTTTTCTTTGCATTAAGAAAGGCCCTTTGATCAAACAGGCCATTTGTTTCTAAAATACTGTATGAGAATATTAAGAGTTCTCTTATTTTTATAATTATTTATACATTATTCTGATCAGCACATTGACAAATCAAAATACTTTGCCCTTTCTGATTCTTAAGACTCCCACTTTGGCCTGGAAACCTGTGTAATACAAACCACCTCAATAAGGCAAGGTCCATTTTCTTTTGGAGTATTTGGGTAAGCACAACACTGAATGACACCACAATGGGTACAGTTTCTTTGTCTTTGAATTTTTGACAATCCTAATACAGTGGTGCCTCGCTTAACGATTGCCTCGTTTAGCGATGAATTCGCATAACGATGTGTTTTTTTAGAAAATAATATGCACCGTATAACGATGTTTCCTATGGGCGATTTTCGCTTAGCGAAGTTTGGGACCATGCGATTTTAGGTCCCCTGCTTCACTTAACGATGTTTCTTTTTTCAATTTAAAAAGTGTCTTAGAAGGGTCAAAAACGGTTCTAAATGCTTGGATTCGTTAGAGGACCCCCTAAGTCATGTGCAAACCTGATTTGGCTTTGATCTGAACTTTCGTTAATTTATGGTGAATTGTTTTCTTCCCCCATAGGAAAGCATGGAGCTGTCAGATTTTGACAGGTCCATTGGTTCCTATGGGCCGGTGAATTTTTGGTGAATTTTTTTTTCCGGCCCATTTTTGACCCTTTTATGACACACTTAATTTTGCAGAAATTGACTTCGCAAAGCCATTGAAATGTATTGAGTCAGCTTCAATACATTCCAATGGAGGAAACATTGTATCGTTTAACGATGTTCCCTATGGGTTTTTTCGCTTAAGGACGGCAATCCGTGCCTATTGGAACGGATTAACCGGTTTCCAATGCATTCCTATGGAAAATGGTGTTTCGCATAACGATGTTTCACATAATGTTTTTTTTTGAACCAATTAAAATCGTTATGCGAGGCACCACTGTATTATTCCCCAGTGCATCAATAACCACTCACCGTGCTGACTGGAAGATTTTGAAAGTTACAATCTGAAAAGGGAATGACCCAAGTTTTGCTCTAATCTGGGAATTGATCTGTGTTGTCTCTAATCCTGGTTGTGATGCAAGCCCCTATACTCTTATTACAGGTGAGTGCCAGTTTGTTTCTGCAACTTTACGCCTCTTCAAGATCCCCAAGGATTTTTCCATCCAACGCTGTGAAGTTATTTACACAGGTGGAATCACTGGGCATGAGAAGGAACTAGAGTTTGATGTTAACTACAAGTTCAAGGTACAGACCTGGGGGCCAGAATCATGTTTTATTGAAATATGAAGGGAACTGAAATGGTGTGAAGCACACATTTTACCTCCTGATTATCAGCTACCATAATATTTTGTATTGTTATTCTATATTATTCCAAATTGCTAGCAGACAATCTGCAGTAGCTTCATGGCAGCTTTTTTTTTAAAATTAGTTTTTAAAATAAGGTCTTTATTCTGTATACTAAAGTGGGTTTTTCTATTACAAATTTAAGTTTTTGCCTTGAGCATTTCTAGAAATATCTAGTTATTGAGATGACTTTTGGATTTGTTTCGGTGTCAATTACTTGCTTGCTGTCCTTGTCACAGGCTCATAATTAATATGACGAGGTGACAGGATATGGCACAGAGTTTGATACTTGTCCTTATACCTTCAGTATGAAGTTCTGGTATGCATATTCAGCTCCATGTTTTATAGGAGATCTGTAAGTGAATCTCCCCTTGCTTTGATCTTTGTGGCAAAGCTCTTGGGGAGGCCTTATGGCAGATCAGAGAAGAAGCAAAGCTGGTGTAAAAATGTATTATTATTTCTCCTTTCATTGTTTCCCAATCTAGGAAACCAAAAGTTGGGTATTGGAATATCCAATCTGGGCTTTGGGGAATCTGGGCCTGGGTTGGGGAAAGTTTAAAGAGGACAGTAGTTATTCTAGAACAGAGTTTTTCCCCACCTTTAAAGAAACTTGTGCTGCCTTTTGACAAACATAAAAATCTCATTCTCTCTTTAAAACTTGCCTCTAATAATTCCCCCATGTTTTCCAAATAAAAATTAAGAGATTTAATGTCTCATCTGGAATTCTGATACACCCTGTGAAAGTGGGTTGCCCTGTGTGGTGGGCCATGTGTGTGGGTGGGTGGGAGTGCGGGGGGCAGTGGGAGATCTGTCTCCGCAGCCTGGTCCTGTCATGGCCATGGATGGGCACCGGGCTGCAGGTGTAGAATATCTGGCAGGTATGAGTTTGGGGGAGGCAGTTCTAGAAGTAGGGCTGGAGTCAGAGGGGACTGTTGGGAGAAACAGAGAACAACAAAAAGCCTTGCCTATTCTCTTTATAGACACCTAAGTCTATTTATTGCTAGTAACTTGTTTCTTTTGTCTGTTGCCTTTCATTTACTCTCTTCCAGCAAGGAGAAGTTGTAGATGTGGATGAGGATATGGCAGCTGTTCTGCAAAAATCGAGGTTTTCTGGGAAGTTCCTGATCCGTCCAGTGGAGCAGAAAAAAACAACCCCCACAGGCTGTTGTCCTGGGAAACCGAAGGTTAGTTAAGACCCAGTAGCAGAGAACAGACAGATTCTGGAGGTTTGAGTACATTTTCTTCAGATTGTAGTGGTAGATTATTTTACATGGTTAAGTGGAGATTGGAAATGTGGCTTTTTGGCCTATAGATCTCCAAATTCTATAGCCAGCAAGGAGAAGACTGGTTGGTAAGTGTGATACTCAGAAACTTTGGCTGTGTAGCCACAGGTTTCCACCTGTGTACAAAATATGTTTAAATGTGTGTTGTTAGGGGTCCTGAAAGTAGTTATATTTGTCTAGAATTACACTAGGAGACTGGCACCAAGTATGAATCACCAAATTTCACAGTTTACTTAGTTTATTGAGTAAAACGTATGTGAACCTGTTTCAGCTTTGATATTATCATACACATAGATGGCTCATGAGAGGACAGTGACACGGAGAAGTCTGTCATTAATCTGAAAACATGTCTATAGTTTGCTTTTGGTGAAAACAAATGTACATTGAGATTTAATAAGAACTGCATGAATGCAAACTGCAGTTTGTTATAATCAGAATGTTAGAGGAACTTAAATGCTCTGGTTTCCCCAGGATCTTAGTTGTACATCTAGTACCGTATGCTTTAACTGGATCATGATCATAACCTTCCAGCCCTGACCCTGTTGTGGAACTGATCTGCCTGTAAGAATCCTGTTCCCTACTCTGGATTCTTCTGATGAAGGCAAACAGCTGTGTGTCCTAGAAAAGATAACCTTGTGTCTACTGGTTTGTGATAGGAAAGAAGAGGAGATGGTGGCTGGGATCAGGAGAAACATTTCTTAGATAAGCACCAGAACCCAAGGGGAAGACTGTAGTGAGGGTCTGCAGGTTTAACTCTCACTTTGTTCCAACTTTAATGGAAGTGATTAATTTTGTTTTTGTAATTAAACATGTCACTTCTTTATTGCTGTAGGACACTAAAATATCACCCACTAGGTTTTCTGAATCAGGCGTGGATTTAACCGGCAAGCTTCAAAATAATTCTCAGTTAACTGTTGCAAAATCTAGCCTCCCACACTGGAAAGAAAATATTAACTGGAATGGAGAATCTTCAGGCTTCCAAAGGTTGCTGAACTGCTATTTCCACCATGCCCTGTCATTAGGTAGGTTGGCTAGGACTGATGGGTACTAATAGGTTCCCCAATTTTGGTGTAAAGTTTTTTAATTTGAGGCTTCCAATCTATCTATGAAAGTCGATAAACTCTGCTCACGTATCTTAGACCAGTCAGGTACTTTTGTGACCATAAGGTACAAAAACTATAATGATATTGTATGTTTTTAAAACTTACGATACTTTAAAGTTGCCTTACAGTTAAAAACAATTCAAAGTGGCTTTCTTACCATGAAAAAAGTACAATGCAGTATGAATACAAAGTTATAGCTTTGCTTATATCTTGGGTGGGTCACTATAAAGTTACAAACAAGGTGAAGTTTTGCTCTCACTGTCAGCAAAACAGGAAATTTAACTTCACTGTTGCATTTGGTTAAATGTTTAATTAAAGGCAAATTAGACCCATAATTAGAGTTTGGTTGAGATGGAATACTCACCGAAGTACAATCTTAAGGAAAGGTATTTTTTATGTGTTTTTAAAAGCAAAAATATAAACAAAATTGTACAAACATCTAATAAGCAATTAACAAGCATCTTCTAAACATGCTTCTCCCTGCCCCTGGGACCAATAGGGAGTTGCAACCATTTACTTTCATGAAGCCCCATTCCGCTTCCAAAATTGTAATGACTGTTGTGAGAGGGCTTTCCCTTTATTAGTTACAAAGTCAATAAATTCTTTCCATATTTCTATAAATTCATCCTTTTCTTAACTTTAATATTACATGTCAGCTTATCATTAATAGCTATATCCCCAACTACCGTAATTCCCTATACCAATCACTCAATTGAAATTGTATATTGTTTTCCAGTTCCTGGTTATAATAAATCTCAGTGCTGTTAACAACTTGGAAACCAATTTTTTTAGCTGTCTGATTATATTCTTCATTTTAAAATATTGATGAAAGCACTATTTTAGGACATACTGCTAAATTTAGTTCACTTGTTTCATTTATTTCTTTAAAAACCAATTGCCAAAATTTTGATATAATCTTGCATTCCCATCAGGTATGAAAATAAGTACTTGTTTTTTTGACATCCTCCCCATCATACCTTGGAATAATTGCCATCTATTTGATTTAGTTTTACTGGAGTTAAGTATTATTGCCAAACTAACCTATCAAATTTTTCTTTTATTCTTACCGACATAGATTTCAATATTATAATATTCTATGTTAGAGATGGCCATGAACCACGGTTTGGTGGTTTGGCCCAGTTTGTTGCAGCACAGAGCGCCACGTTGTTCCATGGGTGCTGCATGATTCCCTCCTCTGCCGCCTCCAGGCAATTGCTCACTCAGAGGCAGTGCTGTGTTCCAAACCACAGTTTGTGTCATTGGTGGTTTGGCCCAGTTTGGTGCAGCACAGAGTGCCACGTTGTTCCATGGGCGCTGCATGATTCCCTCCTCTGCCTCCTCCAGGCAATTGCTCACTCAGAGGCAATGCTGTGGGCCAAACCACAGTTTGTGTCTATCTCTATTCCATATATTTTCCCAAACACTGATACTTATTTCTTTCCCTAGAACATATTTCCATAATGTTTTAAGTAAATCTTCCTAATCTTCTGCTTCCAATAATATTTTGTAGATTTTATTTATTGATTGTCCCTTTTATTACCTTATCTTCACCTACACTTTCCTTTTGTAATATAATCTCTTCAAATTTCATCATTTCCTTATATTTACCATTTTTCTCAATCCTTTGCCTGTTGTTCTAATTGAATAACATTATACCAAGATACTTTATCCATCATTATCTCATTTTTAATTTGCTCCTTGTTCCCCATATTTTCTAACCAGTCTTTTAATCTTTCAATCTGCATTCCTTATGTGTGGTTCTTGACTAATATGAGAAGTGATTGGTTCAAATTTCTGGTGACAGCTACTTATCCTTCCCCACATCCACAAGCTACTGCTTTGGGAGAGGGAGAGGGGGAGAGAGAGAGAGAGAAGGAAACAGCTAGTACCATTGTTTATGACTACACATGGGGACAAATTAAAAAATGGATTGCGATATTTGTAAAAAATCGCTGATTTGTTAAATATTCATCCCTTCGTATTTGTCATATTTCCCCATTTTTATTTGTCCCCCCATAGGAAGAGAGGGAAGGCTAGCCTGTGGCCTTCCCATTCTGCCTATGGGCCCGCCAATCAGCTTATTGGCAGGCCGATAGGCAGGAAGACAGCCCTGCAGCTGTCCACCCCCACAGCCTATCCCCTGCCCCCTTCCCCTATTTACCTTAGCTGCTACTGCCATCCACCACCACCAAGCGTCACCATCATCTGCTGCCACCTGCTGCCACTGCCATCCATCGCCGCCCGCTGCGGTGGCCTCTGCAGCCACAGCCTGCTATAAGGGACACTGGCTGCCCTTTGCAAAGAGGGCGACTGTGGCTTCTTTTAGGGCAGGGAAGTTGCAGCCGCCATCTTTGCAAAGGGCAGTCCAGATTCCCTTAGCCTGCCTTAAGGGAATCCAGGCTGCCCTTTGCAAAGATGGCAACTGCAGCTTCTCTTAGGCAAGGAAGCTGCAGCCACCGTCTTTGCAAAGAGCAGCCTAGATTCCCTTAAGGCAGGCCATAGTGGTGGAGGCCATCACAGCAAGCAGTACTAGATGGTGACTGTGGAGGCTGCTATGGCACAGGCCTCTGTGGATGGTGGTGGTAGTGGGCAGTGGCAGTGCAGAGTGTGGCAGCCAAGGTCAGGATGCGACAGTATTCGGAAGGGGGCAGGCTGTGGGGGTGGAGGGGTCAGCTTTTTTTTAAGACAGCCTCTGGCTGTCTAAAAAAACCCCCACAAACCAAGAAATTTGTGTTTCATTGGTTCATGGGAAGGAGATTTGTGCTTCGTGCTTTGTCAGCTTTAATGAATCTTGAAGCAGAATAACTCGACAAAATGGCAATTCGTCCCATCTCTATTTATGACCTAAAGGTCATATAGATTTTGGGATCTTGTTTCCTGTAAAAAATACATTTATATCTTCCATTTCTTCCCACAAGCTCCCCAAAGTGGCTTTTCCCACATTTATTTTCATAGGACCCTCCTGGAGTAGGTCAGGCTGAGAGAGTTTGACTGGCTAAAGAAGTTTCATGGCCCAGTGAGGATTAGAGCCTTGATCTTCCAAGTCCAATACTCAATGCTTAGAATATCTTTTGTTCAGTCCCTGACATCTCCTGGGAGAGGAGGGAAAGTCTTCTTTCTAAGAAGCTGAAGAAATGCTATTTGAGTGCACACAACTCAGCGGGCCAAAGAAGTAATCTTGTATGAAGCAATTTTATTCTATACGTTAGTTGTAATTTTTGTTTTTCACTAGTGTGCTAGGTTTTTGAAACATCTTAGTAGGGTCACATATAAATCAAAGGATCATCACATGCTTGAAAAGCAATTATTTCTTACAATTTAGACAGGGTGCCAATAATTTTGGCCAGTGCATTTTTGGGTTTCTGTGTGGGATTGTATCAGATTTGACTTTTCTTCTCTGTTTTTTTGTGTTGTTCCAATGCAAACCAAAGAAATGAACATGTGAGTACCAAAACATTCGCAACAGCAACAATTTTCTGAGAGAAGGGTTGCATTTTCTGACACAACTGCAAGGGTGCCAATATTTTTGGCCATGACGGTAGCTATGCAAATTTAAATTTGTTCAAAATGTGGTGTTAGGAGTAGAAATGTAGGCATACCATGGGCTGCTAGAAAGACAGATAAGTAGGTTCTAGATCAGATTGAACCTGAACTCTTACTGGATTCCAAAATAATTAAATGAAGGCAAACAAACCATGAGCGTATTGTGAGGTGACATGATTTACTAAAAAGTGGCAATAATTTTAGGGACAGTGGAAGGCAATAGGAAAAAAGGAAGGCCTAGCATAAGGTAGATTG